AAATACTATTTTCTGCATTTTCTGTGCTAGTTTTTTTCTAGCCTAAAAAATAGGATACTAAATGTAATTTTTTTTAGAGAAATAAAATAGTTAGGCTATTTTTTAACGATTTTCACCCTATGGTTTTTCTTTAGGACATGTCTAAAAAGTCTCACTCTATATGATTTTTAGGGTCAGAAAAGACTCCTTCACTACTTTGCAATCTATTGACTAAAATTATAATACCCTGCTAGGGTATAAAAACAGGAAAGCGGGGGCTTAAGGGGTTGAAAAAGGACCCAAGTACATAGTTTGGCGTTGCCTTGGCTGGCATCCCTTTGCATCCTCAGCCTCATCTTCAGACTCAAGTTACTGCCGCAAACAAAAACAGAAACAGTATGAAAACAAAGTTAGAATGTTTCACAGACAGTAAGCAGGGTTTCTCCGAATACCCTTACTGAAACTTATTTACTTATTTATTTGATTAATAAGAACATTTTGCAGAGGGTTTTGTTGCTTATTTTTAGAATCTAACAAAGCTATTCTGTGATATTTCAAATGATATACATTACCTATTTGTTGCCTAATTTATAATTATATGGCTAATATAATTTAGTTACAAAGTAAGAGCATCGTAAACTATTAAATAAAGTTTTGATAAATGAAAGTTGCAGCCTTCCTTTCCTCCTTGCTTCCCTTTTTCCCCTTTTATCTGTCGAGTGTTGCAATTTGTAGAGTGTTTGTCCGGGTTTCTTCTTCTTTTCGCCGTTGCTGTTGCTTTGGCTGATGTTGTTTTTGCCATTATTGTTGCTTTTCGTCCTCGACGTTGTTTCTGCCTGCTGAATTTTTGCAAGGACACGCACTCTGCGTCTGTGCATAAGGAGCCACAAGTCGTTGGCGTTTGTTGCCCGCCACAAGGACACTCGAGGAATGTATGCCAGATTTGCCCCCATTGGCTCAGCCTCCAAATGTGCGGCAGCTGGATGCAAGAGCACAGCCTTCGGTGGAGGTGAAGCGACAATCCTGAACCTGAATTCCTCCTCGGGCGCCAGGAAATGACTCTAGCCATCTCGCTCAGAGTTCTCTGCATAGAGAGAAAAATGTGTAAACAAAAAAAAAAAAAAAAAAAGAGAGTGCTTAAAATTTTGGGGGTATATCTATTATATATCTATTAAAAAATAATATATATTTTTAAGGGGCTTATAATTTTTTAAGGATACCTTTTTAAAAATGATTTTTGATCACTTTTGGGCCTATATATTTTATTCACCGATGGATTTTTTGGTCAGCCTTGAAGTCGAGACGCCCTTTCGGCAAGCCCTTAACTTGTGCTACTCGCAATCTTGACATTTAATTATCTGCTGCTGGTGGCTGCAGCAGCTGCCACAGATAATACTGAGCTGTGTGTCAAGGTCGTTGCTTTGTTTTTGGCGGCTGCGATTGACGGGAAATTCACCTGCTGAGGTGAGCAGATGCCAAGGTCCAAGCCGTGCAGGAAATTCGACCAATTTTCAAGGCGGAATCTATAAATTTCCGATGATGGATCTTGTAGCGCGCAAATCGAATTCAGGGTCGGGAATGAAATTGGGAAAATGGGGTTGTGGCAAATTAAATTTTTCTTGAATTTATGTAGGTCAGAAAATGGGAATACTAAATTCATTTATTTGAGTACAATAAATAAAACCTTTAAAATAAATAAAAAATATTTCAGTTATCAAAGATAAGTGGTTAATATTCTTAAATATCTAATATCTCATTTGACTAAAATTGATTACATTTCATATATATTCTTTTAATTATGCTAGCTAGCATCCATACTAACACTAACTAATTTCTAACTGCTTGTCCTTTTTTATTCCTTTAAAGTTGTCGAAATGGAGCGAAGCGAAAGCCGGCGAAGAAGGCGAAGGTAAGACCATAATTCTAAGCTTATACGGTTTAAAAAATATTATATATTATATATTCTTTCATAAAAAAATAAATACAGAACTAAAAGCATTTATATATTATTTTATTTATTAAAATTATAAATAAATATATTATTAAAATGATTAATAAGTTAAATTATCTTAGAGTTTTAAGATTTAAAGGATTATAAAATGTCCTATAAAATTTTAAAACCTAGAAATTTACTCATCATCTTTAACTTAACATTTTGAATAGTCTTAACTTATTAATATATTTTATTAATAAATTTATAAATACATTTGTTTTTATTATATATTATTTATTAATATAATATAAATATTCATTTTGCTAGACAACCGCTTTTTATTCTGCTTTTAAAATGGGAATTGCAGCTTTGTGGTGTCTGCGTTTTCAGGTCAATCAATAGCATTCCGATTCCGATTCTCGCCAGTGATTAGTATATGCCGTATCTGTGTGAATGCCTTATTCTGCGCTTGTATGCAGCATGGCGGCTCTGCCGACGCCATTTTACTTGGCTCACATCCTGTTCTGTGCGTTGGTATTCGTGTTTGGGGTTTACGTGTGCTCGCGACCTACGGCAACATGGAGGCAGATTGGGTTAGGTTAGTTCCTGCGCAGACTCACACCAAGGCACTCGAGGAATAAAACACACACACATACACATGTGGGCAGATATGTGTGTTACTGTGCCTCGTAGGTGCAATCAATGAAAGTTCAACGCACGTGGAACGTCGTTACCTTGCTCGAAACTTCTCAACTTACAAATGGGCGAGTGTTTAAAGTCCATTAATAACTTGGCCAAAAGAAGCTAAACTAATAAAGTTAATGTAGGGAATTTTAATTATTAATTTTTGTAATTATTATTTTAATTATAATTATACTTTGAAATATTTTTAATGTTAGATGTTAAGATTAAATTCATTTTCCGGCAAATAAATTATAATCAGCATTTAATACTAAATTGCTTTAATTTAAATTAAAAATAAAAAAATATTTATTTTAAAATAATTTTTTAATTAAGCAATTTTTTTAATACAAATATATACATATATATATATACAATATAAGGTTCAGATTATTTTAAAATTAAATTTATAAGTTTAGTAGCGACAGTTTAAATTAAGGAACTTTTTTCCAGCAGAAACATTAAATAAACTAAATTCTAAATTGTTTAATGAAATTTAAAAGCTTTAAACAATTTCTGCTTCTAAAGTTCTGAAATTCGTAGGACTTTTTCTTTAAACTCTCCAGAAAATCCTTAGAAATGCTCCCGTTTCAATAAGCCACAACTAAGCCCTTTGCAAATATATTTGCATATCGTAGTAGGTCCTATGAGAAGCACAGGGCTTGCTTTCGGCTGGATATTTGTTTTCCTGCCGATGCAGTCAATGTCATTTGAAATTAAATGCCAAAAAGTGACAACACTTCGAAAAACACACACATACAGCGCCACGCAGACAGGCAGCTTTTGACACCGTCTGTGTGTATGTGTGTGTTCATTGCTTTTTAATATGCAAAAACAAAAAAATGAAATCGGGGCAAAAAGAGCGGGCTGGCAATAATTGACCCAGATTTCTGATGCCACCCTACAGGTCACCGCATATCGCGTATACGCCGCGTGTTCGAGTTTGCTCTTGTGTGCCTCGTTCTCCCCCTTTTTTTTACTTTTGAAATTATTTTATTTTACGACAATAACAGCCAGTACTATGATAAGGATAACGATTGTACCAAGGCTATCGAAATATTTTAATGCAGTTTAATGATTTCTTTGTTTACCTTGAAATATGTAGAGTCTGCCTGCTCGTCCCATTCAAGGTCGAAATGGTTTGGAAAATTAACGAAACAAAATTTGACAACCATCTTTATTTGTGTCGATAAAGCAAAATAAATAAAAACAGGGGTACAATGAATAAACGTTAAATAAAGACCAAAAGGGAAGCGAAGCCGCCAAAAGTTAGACAGAGCAAGAGAGAGTCGAGAGAACACCATGGTGTCCTTGTTGGTGAGAACTTTAAACAATATATAAACATTAAATATAAATGATGAGAATGGATAAATAAATAAAAATAAACAATGAGATGTTGTTGCAAATGTGCCAAAGATCATCCAGTGCATATTAAGCAAAAACAACAAAAATATGTAAAAATTAAAAATAAAATGATGAGAATGGACAAATAAATAAAAATCAACAACAACAATTAAGACTTGTTCTCCTCTAGCTGCAATGGTGGGTGACAACAAAAAAATATGTAAAAATTAAATAAAAATTATGAGATTGGATAAATACATAAAAATAAACAAAGAGATGTTGTTGCAAATATGCCAAAAAATGGTTTTAAAATTAAAAATTAAAACTTTTCCTCAAAGAAAATCGAAGAAAAAAATAAAAAATAAATAAAGGCGAGACGACTCCTAGAGCCATAAGGTCTCAGAGCCAAATAAAACTTGTAAGGAGAGTGACAGCTTTTTATACGAAATCCGATGGCCTTTAACTGCAGGGCTGTCATCGTACTTACTTTTAATGCAAATTGCCACCAGGGTTGTCAAAGTAATCACTTCTACTACCTTATTTATACGTTAGGCGCTCAATTTCAAAATATTTTTTCGTGTTTCGTTGATTCTGATATTAAAAAAGAAGTAAATGTGAATTTTTCGTATCGTTAATCTATAATTATTAAACTTATAATAACCTAAAACGTACATAAATATTATCCATCCAAGATTTTATACTTATTCCTAGTACTTGTTTAAAAATATCTTTTTTCAAACTCCTTATCACAAGTCCTGAAAATAAAACATCCTTGTTCTTCCTTCCTTTTGCAGACGACGGAAAAAAGCTGCACTTTGTGAGTCCTGCAAGACGGAAATCGGTGCTGGCCCCGATCCTAAATAAAATCAAGAATGGCGCCGCCGATGCCTCGGATATTGCCGAGAAGAAACTGGGCAGCGAGAGCAGCGGCAGTGGCCACATCGCGGTCCAGATCGAGCCAGCCAGGCGGGTCAAGGTGGGTAAAAGTTAATGTTCTTTCAATCTCTCAAAGAAATTCCAAAATAAACTTGAAAATTGATAAATCAAATTGATGCTCTAGCGTCACAGCATTCACGGCATGATGGAGGAAGAGAACACCATCCGGCCGCATCAGGAGATCCGGCAGCTGACGCTGGAGGAGAAGAAGTTCCTGCTGGCCGTGGAAAGGGGCGACATGGCCGGCACGCGACGGATGCTGCAGAAGGCCCAGGACACGGACTACATCAATGTGAACTGTGTGGATCCCCTGGGACGCACTGCCCTGCTGATGGCCATTGACAACGAGAATCTCGAGATGGTCGAGCTGTTGATCAACTATAATGTGGACACGAAGGATGCTCTGCTGCACTCCATCTCCGAGGAGTTCGTGGAGGCTGTGGAGGTGTTGTTGGACCACGAGAACGTTACCTTTCACAGCGAGGGCAATCACGTGAGTTGATTTCAAAGCAATGCTTTCCAAAATGAATATTTTATTAATTTTATTATTATTGCCAGAGCTGGGAGTCTGCCTCTGAGGATACCTCCACTTTTACCCCGGATATAACGCCTTTGATCCTGGCGGCACACCGCGACAACTATGAGATCATCAAGATCCTGCTGGATCGTGGTGCCGTTCTGCCCATGCCCCACGATGTGCGCTGCGGCTGCGACGAGTGTGTTCAGTCCCGACAGGAGGACTCCCTCAGGCATTCGAGGTCCCGCATCAATGCCTATCGAGCCCTGGCCAGTCCCAGTTTGATAGCACTTTCCTCCAAGGACCCCATCCTCACGGCCTTCGAGCTGTCCTGGGAGCTGCGCCGCCTCAGCTTTCTGGAGCACGAATTTAAGGTGAGCTTCTAGAAATTCAATATCTAAATGGATTTAAAAAGTTGGATATTTTACCAGAACGAGTACCAGGAGCTGCGAAAGCAGTGCCAGGACTTTGCCACCGCCCTGCTGGACCATACTCGCACCTCCCACGAGCTGGAGATTCTGCTCAACCACGATCCCACCGGTCCCGTTTACGAGCACGGCGAACGGATGCATTTAAACCGTCTAAAACTGGCCATTAAGCTGCGGCAGAAAAAGGTGGGTTATTTTTTTATAAACGTTATCCTCCTCCTCATCTCGATTTCCTGTCAGTTTGTGGCCCACTCGAATGTGCAGCAGCTGCTGGCGAGCATCTGGTACGAGGGACTGCCAGGCTTCCGGCGGAAGAACATGGCGCTGCAGGCGGTGGACATCATACGGATTGGCATTCTGTTTCCCATCTTCTCGTTGGCCTACATCCTGGCACCTTACTCCAGCATTGGCCAGACCATGCGCAAGCCTTTCATCAAGTTTATCTGCCACAGCGCCTCCTATTTCACCTTTTTGTGTGAGTAGAGATCTCAGATAACCTAGATTTGAATTCTAAAAATTATATTGTATCCAGTCCTCCTGATGCTGGCCTCCCAGAGGATCGAGACCTTCATCGGTGGCTGGTTCTTTGCCGACTCCTCGGGCATGCTCAAGGTGGAGGAGGTGCCCACGAAACGGGGAGCCAAGCCCACCTTCATTGAATGGCTGATCCTGGCCTGGGTCAGTGGGCTCATCTGGAGCGAAGTGAAACAGCTGTGGGATGTGGGCCTGCAGGAGTATCTCAACGACATGTGGAATGTAATAGATTTCGTCACGAATTCGCTATATGTGGCCACTGTGGCTCTGCGTGTTGTGTCCTTCTTTCAGGTGAGTTTAATAAATTATTAAAATAATAGTAGAATACTTTTTAATATTTTGTAATATTTCTTATATTTTTTCAAGGTCCAAAAAGAGATGATATTCAACTCACATGCCACGGATCTGCCGCGCGAACGCTGGGACGCCTGGGATCCCATGCTAATCTCCGAGGGCCTGTTCAGTGCGGCGAACATTTTCAGTAGCCTCAAGCTGGTTTATATATTCTCGGTGAATCCGCATCTGGGGCCACTGCAGGTGTCGCTGTCCCGGATGGTTATGGACATCATGAAGTTCTTTTTTCTCTACGTTTTGGTGCTCTTTGCCTTTGGCAGCGGTCTCAATCAGCTTTTATGGCGAGTTAAAAATTAAAAAATACAACATACAAATTTGAAACCTATAAACTTATAAACTTTCAATAATAAATTACATTTCTCTCTGTTTTTTAGGTACTATGCCGATCTGGAAAAGAAGCGTTGCCCTGAGGTTTCACCCATGAGTGCCCTTTTAAACATGAACGGCACCAATGATCCCAATGCCTGCATTGTCTGGCGACGTTTCTCCAAGTAATATACTTTAAAAATATTTTATTTAAATATTTTAGTTTATTTTAAACCTTTTCAGTTTATTTGAGACCACTCAAACCCTCTTCTGGGCTGTCTTTGGCCTGATTGACTTGGACAGCTTCGAGCTGGATGGTATTAAGATCTTCACCCGTTTCTGGGGCATGCTGATGTTTGGCACCTATTCGGTGATCAATATTGTGGTGCTGCTCAATTTGCTCATTGCAATGATGAATCATTCGTATCAATTAATATCGGTGGGTATTTTATTATAATAATCTTGTGACATATTAAAATAAAAGAATTTTTTTTTAGTTTTAACGATGAAATTCGTATAAGGTCAAACTTAATCTTTAAATGTTTTAATAGATTTTCTTTGATTTTCTCTTCATTAGGAACGTGCCGATGTGGAGTGGAAATTTGCCCGCTCGAAACTCTGGATAAGTTACTTCGAGGAGGGCGGCACCTGTCCACCTCCCTTCAATATAATACCCACACCCAAATCCATTTGGTATGCCGGCAAGTGGGTGAGACGGGTTTTCTGCAGCGGCTCCTCGGCCGCTCGGCGGGAACACCTCAAGACCATTAGGGTGGGTACACTTTCTTATTAATATAATTATTCTAAAACCAATTAATGCTACTTGAATTAATCATTAGAGAAAGGCCCAGCAGGCAAGTGATCGCGACTTTAAGTACCAGCAGATAATGCGGAACCTGGTCAGGCGCTATGTGACCGTGGAGCAGCGCAAGGCCGAGTCCCAGGGCGTCACCGAAGACGATGTGAACGAGATCAAGCAAGATATATCCGCCTTCCGGTGCGAGTTGGTGGAAATACTGAAGAACAGCGGCATGGATACGAATGTGACGGCTGGCCAAGGTGGTGGTAAGCCCGAGAAATCGTTGTTAGCTATTTTGGCAAGCCTCTATTGAAATGGGTTTTCTTCCTTTGACCCCCCAGGAGGCGGTGGCAAGAAGAACCGCCAGAAGGAGCGTCGCCTGATGAAGGGCTTCAATATCGCTCCGCCCGGCTCGACGGGATCTTTGGCCCCTGTTGCCGAGTTCTCCACCTCGCTGGACAACTATGACAACCAGCACGAGATCCTCAGCTCCACGCTGTCCACTCTCTTCACGCCGAATTTCATGCACAAGCGTCAGCAGAGCCAAGCGGGCAGCGGAGGCGGCGGTTCGGACTCCCCGACCACGCCCACTCAGGGACAGGGTGGCCAGCAGGGTGGGTCGATCCAAGTGACCAGCAACCAGGTGACCACCAAGTACAACAAATCCGCGCTGAAGCCCTACAACAAGCGGATCGCAGGGCACAAGAAGAGATGGGGTACGCAATCCAAGGGCAATGAATAAAATTATTTGTGGGGAATGTTGTGGAATTCAAGACATCTGCGATATATTTTTTTATATTTATAAAAAAATGGCAATAACTTTTCAGAGTTTTTTAAAAGCATTACTTAAAGATACATTCAGAAGATATTAAAATTGAGTGCAGTTTTAAAACAATCAAAAAATATCAACAAATACTACCTCATCTTAATTAAATAATATTAAAATCAAAGAAATACATTTAAATCAAAATTCGAGCAAAATAAACCTTTATGAATATTTTTTATATATAGTTTACTTAATTTATATTGGTTATATTGGTTAACTTATAAGTTCTGTAAATAACAAAAATTGTCAAATTATAATTACTTATCATTATTTTTATATCAATGCTAACATAAAATTATTAATACTATAAATACGATTGATTAATTAATCGCTCAGACTAACCCAGATTGGCAACTATTAAAAAAATATAAATAAATAAAAACTTCTTATTAAACTGAAAAAATATGGTACACTTTGAAGCAAGTATTGAGGCAAAGAAAAATATGTTTATATATAATTACAAATATTATTACACCTCTAATTGTATGTATCCCCCCTCTAGGCACCTTGATAGAAGCCGCCAAGGTGGGCAATGTGAGCAAGATGCTGGGCCGTTCAAAGTCCGAGGATTCGGTGTGCAATTCCTCGCATACAGCCACACCGGTTCATGGCCAAATGCGGGTTACCTATGCCCAGAATTCGTCACAGCATAACTACGGATGCCTGGGAGATTCCTCCAGCACAACGGCCTCCACTTCGACGCCTACTCCCTCAGTTGTCAGCAATCCGCCGGCAGCCCATGTGGGTGTTGGCTCCCACTTCTTTCACACCACAAGCGGTGAGGATCATAGGAAAATTAATCCTATTTATTTATTTGTTATTATTTAAATTTATTTCCAGGACTCACTGCCATTGCTGCTTTGAAGAGAAAGCGCAAAAAGTTCTCTTCGAGCAAGAATATTTGTCCAGTGACCGAGTCTGTGGCAGCTGCAAATGCTGCTGAAATTTTAAGTGATAAGGTGGGTGATTTTTAGGCTGGTTTTGGATATTTTCATAGATAAGTTCCAATTTAATTCCAGACCCTGAAGCGCGTGTCCAGTTATCCTGCAGCCGAGGCTGGCGTCCAGCACAAGGATCCGGCCCACCAGCTGGTGAAGCCACGTAGACACGAGCAGACCCAGAGCCAGCACGATTCGGTGGAGACCAATTCGACATTTACCCTGTCCATTGATCCCTCAAACACGTCCGTGAACTCCAGGGAACCCCTGATCAGTACCAGTTGCGTGTCCACCACGGGGGCCATTGGATGAGGAGGTTTCGCCTAGCCACAGAGACACATACATACATACCAATACCAAAGATATAGCGCACCTGATGCATACACACATACCTAGATACTATTTAGAGACAATTTGTTGACATTTTTGATATGAAGACATATAAAATGAGCGGGAAGCTAAACTAACCGAAAACCAATCTAAACTTAAAGCCACACAGCCTAGATCTTAAATTACCTCACCACGATTAGATATATAGGAAACAACCATACACCAAGTAGAGCATAACACTCGATAACTGTTAGCCAACACTGTCTCGTAACTCGTAAACAACTACATATATGTATTTTGCACTACTGAAGGAATATTTCCGAAACCTGGGAATATTCAAGATACTCAATATCCTCAAACTACCTACACTTCTCTACTCATTATCCTCAGCTCCTACAAAGAAAACTTAATGGAATTTATCAACACTGTAAGGAACAGTGCTGCAAAAGCAACCATAAAGCACACAGACACATATCATGCCAATCGCTTTATAACGAAACCTTTTACACCAAAAAACAACAAGATCTACTAGATCCAATAAAGTCCCTCAACATAATAACTAATAACTAAAACTATCCCATATCGATGTTGAACGTTGCCTTAGCATGAAACATATTTTTTATACACATACATAAGTTTTGGATGAACATTACTGAAACGGACTGTACCGGAAGCGCTGTGTATTTGTTGATTTGAGAAAATGAATTTCGAAGCCAGGGATTTGTTGTTGTTGTTTCCAGCAAGCAAGCAAGCAAGTAAGCAGCAGAAAAGCCAAGCAACGCAAAAGCAAAATAAGTAAATAAATCAAAGGATACCACAATTTTATACACCGATTTTAACCAACACAAAAAAAAAACGAAACGAACAAAGAACCGTATTAATAATCAAATCGCATACTAACTAAAGTGTTTGAATTTTATGGAATATATGGAATACAAATACGAATAATCGTAATTTTTAGATGATTTTTGGGTTAAAGTAGATACAAATACTCACACAGAACACGCGAAACTAAACACACACACGAACAATATACATAATTATATACGAAAATATCAACGAAAACAATAACAAGGAATAACCATTTTATATATAACGGAAATAACGAATACCAATGTTTAGCGTAATATAAAAATTGTTATTTGCACGAAAAAACATAACGAAGTAAAATAAATATAAATGAAACGGAAAGATAAAGTATTTATTTTTGGGTAGAGGCAAATTTTTATTTATTTAGAAAGAAATCTTTATTTGGATCGATTTTGTATCATTTGTGGTAAGTGAAATTCAAACTTGTCGTTGAGAGAATACTAACTCATTGGCAGAAACCGATTAACCCATTGTTTTAATGAAGTCTAAGAATTTATAAGAATTCTGGACTGTTACTTGAAATGTTAGAAACTGATTTATTCGAAAATTTTGTGAATTCGAAGATCTAAGTTCATGCTTTTGAAAAATTGTTTCTATAATTTTAGAATTTTGATATTAATTTTATTAAAATTGGATGACTAAATTATATAACTGCCATAGGAACCATATATTTATGTATTAATCTACCATGATCCGGATCGGACGACTATATCATATAGCTGCCATACAAATGTTTGATAAATTTTTAGAAAAATAATTATAACTTTGCTGTTTTTAAACATTTTTGCATAATATGCATTTTTTAGATATGGCCATTTTATATTATTTTAGAATTTTGGTAAAAATTTTATGAAAATCGGACGACTATATGATATAGCTGCCATAGGAACGTTCGGGAAATTAATAGAAACAAGAAAGGAAGCTAACTTCGACACGCCGAAGTTTGTATACCCTTGCAGATTGCAATTGGATCACTAAGAATCGAGCCATTCTGGTTAAATAATTGAAATTATTCGAATTGAATTTCATGCATTTTTGACTGAGTTGTGAACCTTTGAAAATTAGTTAATTTCCCCAAAAATAAATCGCACCATTTTTGCAAAAATATGTAAGGGGTACCATCATTAAAATTCTAAAAATTTGAGAAAAAATGAAATTGAAAAGAACCCTAAACGTTGTATGCAGTTTTGTTAGGCTTAGAAAATGCAACTCAGAACAGCTTTCCGAATTGAATTTCATGCATTTTTGGCTGAGTTATCAACATTTGAAAATGAGTTTTTTTTCCCAAAATAAATCGCACCATTTTTGCAAAAATATGTAAGGGGTACCATCAAAATTCTAAAAAATTGAGAAAAAATGAAATTGAAAAGAACCCTAAACGTAGTATGCAGTTTTGTTAGGCTTAGAAAAGGCAACTCAGAACAGCTTTCCGAATTGAATTTCATGCATTTTTGGCTGAGTTATGAACCTTTGAAAATTAGTTATTTTCCCCAAAAATAAATCGCACCATTTTTGCAAAAATATGTAAGGGGTACCATCATTAAAATTCTAAAAAATTGAGAAAAAATGAAATTGAAAAGAACCCTAAACTTAGTATGCAGTTTTGTTAGGCTTAGAAAATGCAACTTAGAACAGCTTTCCGAATTGAATTTCATGCATTTTTGGCTGAGTTATGAACCTTTGAAAATTAGTTATTTTTGCAAAATATGTAAGGGGTACCATCATTAAAATTCTTAAAAATTGAGAAAAAATGAAATTGAAAAGAACCCTAAACGTAGTATGCAGTTTTGTTAGGCTTAGAAAAGGCAATTCTGAACAGCTTTCCGAATTGAATTTCATGCATTTTTGGCTGAGTTATGAACCTTTGAAAATGAGTTATTTTTGCAAAATATGTAAGGGGTACTATCATTAAAATTCTAAAAAATTGAGAAAAAATGAAATTGAAAAGAACCCTAAACGTAGTATGCAGTTTTGTTAGGCTTAGAAAAGGCAATTCTGAACAGCTTTCCGAATTGAATTTCATGCATTTTTGGCTGAGTTATGAACCTTTGAAAATTAGTTAAAATTCTAAAAAATTGAGAAAAAATGAAATTGAAAAGAACCCTAAACGTAGTATGCAGTTTTGTTAGGCTTAGAAAAGGCAATTCTGAACAGCTTTCCGAATTGAATTTCATGCATTTTTGGCTGAGTTATGAACCTTTGAAAATTAGTTAAAATTCTAAAAAATTGAGAAAAAATGAAATTGAAAAGAACCCTAAACGTAGTATGCAGTTTTGTTAGGCTTAGAAAAGACAATTCTGAACAGCTTTCCGAATTGAATTTCATGCATTTTTGGCTGAGTTATGAACCTTTGAAAATTAGTTATTTTCCCCAAAAATAAATCGCACCATTTTTGCAAAAATATGTAAGGGGTACCATGATTTAAATTCTAAAAAATTGAGAAAAAATGAAATTGAAAATAACCCTAAACGTAGTATGCAGTTTTGTTAGGCTTAGAAAATGCAATTCTGAACAGCTTTCCGAATTGAATTTCACGCATTTTCGGCTGAGTTATGAACCTTTGAAAATTAGTTATTTTTGCAAAATAAAGTTATGAACATTTGAAAATCATTAAAATTCTAAAAAATTGAGAAAAAATGAAATTGAAAAGAACCCTAAACGTAGTATGCAGTTTTGTTAGGCTTAGAAAAGGCAATTCTGAACAGCTTTCCGAATTGAATTTCATGCATTTTTGGCTGAGTTATGAACCTTTGAAAATTAGTTAAAATTCTAAAAAATTGAGAAAAAATGAAATTGAAAAGAACCCAGAACGTAGTATGCAGTTTTGTTAGGCTTAGAAAATGCAACTTAGAACAGCTTTCCGAATTGAATTTCATGCATTTTTGACTGAGTTATGAACCTTTGAAAATTAGTTATTTTCCCCAAAAATAAATCGCACCATTTTTGCAAAAATATGTAAGGGGTACGTACCATCATTAAAATTCTAAAAAATTGAGAAAAAATGAAATTGAAAAGAACCCTAAACGTAGTATGCAGTTTTGTTAGGCTTAGAAAAGGCAACTCAGAACAGCTTTCCGAATTGAATTTCATGCATTTTTGGCTGAGTTATGAACCTTTGAAAATTAGTTATTTTCCCCAAAAATAAATCGCACCATTTTTGCAAAAATATGTAAGGGGTACGTACCATCATTAAAATTCTAAAAAATTGAGAAAAAAAGAAATTGAAAAGAACCCTAAACGTAGTATGCAGTTTTGTTAGGCTTAGAAAAGGCAACTCAGAACAGCTTTCCGAATTGAATTTCATGCATTTTTGGCTGAGTTATGAACATTTGAAAATTAGTTATTTTTGCAAAATAAAGTTATGAACATTTGAAAATTAGTTATTTTTGCAAAATATGTAAGGGGTACTATCATTAAAATTCTAAAAAATTGAGAAAAAATGAAATTGAAAAGAACCCTAAACGTAGTATGCAGTTTTGTTAGGCTTAGAAAAGGCAACTCAGAACAGCTTTCCGAATTGAATTTCATGCATTTTTGGCTGAGTTATGAACCTTTGAAAATTAGTTATTTTTGCAAAATAAAGTTATGAACATTTGAAAATTAGTTATTTTTGCAAAATATGTAAGGGGTACTATCATTAAAATTCTAAAAAATTGAGAAAAAATGAAATTGAAAAGAACCCTAAACGTAGTATGCAGTTTTGTTAGGCTTAGAAAATGCAACTCAGAACAGCTTTCCGAATTGAATTTCATGCATTTTTGACTGAGTTATGAACCTTTGAAAATTAGTTAAAATTCTAAAAAATTGAGAAAAAATGAAATTGAAAAGAACCCAGAACGTAGTATGCAGTTTTGTTAGGCTTAGAAAATGCAACTTAGAACAGCTTTCCGAATTGAATTTCATGCATTTTTGGCTGAGTTATGAACCTTTGAAAATTAGTTATTTTCCCCAAAAATAAATCGCACCATTTTTGCAAAAATATGTAAGGGGTACCATCATTAAAATTCTAAAAAATTGAGAAAAAATGAAATTGAAAAGAACCCTAAACTTAGTATGCAGTTTTGTTAGGCTTAGAAAATGCAACTTAGAACAGCTTTCCGAATTGAATTTCATGCATTTTTGGCTGAGTTATGAACCTTTGAAAATTAGTTATTTTTGCAAAATATGTAAGGGGTACCATCATTAAAATTCTTAAAAATTGAGAAAAAATGAAATTGAAAAGAACCCTAAACGTAGTATGCAGTTTTGTTAGGCTTAGAAAAGGCAATTCTGAACAGCTTTCCGAATTGAATTTCATGCA